AGAGAAAATGATATAATCAGAATTTAATTTAAAGAAAAGGCCATGTGAGCTAAGGTATGGAGATAAGTCAAGGAAATGTAAAAATGGATGCAGAGAAGTCATTTTGGAATTTCTAATGCAATTTAACTAAAAGAAGAGATATAAAGATGTAACTAAACTTAAGAAACTTTTGGAGGTAAAATTTATAGCACCTAGTGATGAAATGAGTTTGAGTGGCTGTGATGGATGAGCAAATGTATCAAAGACTATTCTTATGTCACTGACCCATTTTGATACCATTTGCTGTGACAAGAATACAGAGATAAGTTCAGATTTGAACAGGCAGACCACAAGTACAAACACTGAACTTGATGGGCATCTGAGATCTTTACAAAGAAATATTGGACTGAATGGATCTTAAATATTAGGACTTATTTGTACTATGTTTATAAATAGAAGTTGCTACTAAAGACATTAATAGTTATAATAACAGAATGGGAAAAAATAAAGTGTGTAACAGTTATCCTTGAAAAGTAGCAGCATTTCTTGGGCCAGTAGGGGAGGCATATGGGATGGCAAAGGAAGCTGTGAAAGGACAATCAATCATAGAGGTAAGAGAAAAAATACCCAATGTGGAAAGAAAACCAGAAGCCAAGGGAACAGAGCATTTCAGTAAAGAAGGTGTGGTGAAGAGAACTGAAAAAATTAGATTGATTAGTAAAACTTATTTAAGTCATGGGTCATAATTAAAGTAGAGGGTTTTGGTAAACTAATAGTTGCAGAAGATGGGTTGGAGTAGATGAAAGTCTATGAGTGGGGAAGTGGAGAAGTTGGGTAGAAGAAAAAGTTTTAAGAACTTGGCTTTAAAGGGGAAAGAATATAAAATTGGAAGTGCAAGTAAGAAAGGGTTGGGAGATAAATAAACAGGCTTAAAATTTATGAGAAGTATCCATTTGAAAGGAAGAGGTTTTATTTTCAAGAAATATTGCACAAGGAAGAATAAGACTGTAGAAAACTGGAAGTTACAGAACCTATATCTGTGTCTTCATGTATTTCTTAGTTAAAATCTACATGTTGATATATCTTTATTTTACATGAAAGTATTAAAGCAAAGTGTATTTGGTTACAGTGATCAAAATGCCACACCAACAGATTATTAAATGATATATATATTTAGTGAATTGACAAGGCACAAAGCTTGGAAATTGAGAGTTCCAGGATTGTTTCATTGGCTCACAAACATCACCAAATATCTCTGCTTGGTTCTTTTGAACTTTTCCATTCTTCCTCTTCAGTGAGCCATTGGTATCTCCCTTTATGGAATCCAAATGGCTGCTGCAATTTTAAATATCTCATCCTCATACGGTAGCATCTTAAGCAGAAATGCAAGTGGAGAGGTACAAAGTGAAATTGAGACCATAATGCTGAGTGAAATAAATCATACACACAAGCTTAAATAGCGAATAGTTTTTCTTATATGAGAAATCCAAAATATAAATAAAGAGTAAAATAAAAGATAGATAATAGGAAATAGGAAGCTAGATCTTTTGCAAAAGGGAAGGGGACCAAGAGATGAAGGAAGGGTAGAGGGAAGGGAGAAGAGGATGAAAAAAGAATTAGGATGTGTCATATAATAATTATGTATACTAATAAAAATAAAAATGGAAAAAAAACCCAAACCTTACAGTGAAAAGTACAAATTTAAAGAATTTATTACAGTAAAATACACATTGCCATTAATCCCTCTGAAAGTATTTCCTCTTGCTTTAAACACACTTATCCCATTGTCCTTGTCACTTTCTGTAACATCTCTGGAAGTCCTCTTCTTGAGTGTCTTTAGCTGCACCATCACAGCTTCCTTGATGTCCTGATTTAATTCAAAACATTTATCTTTTATGGTCATTCTGACTTTAGAGAAGAGCCAGAATTCACATGATGCCAGATCTGGTGAATAAGTGGATGAGGACGTACCGCAATGGTTTTATTTGACAGAAATTGCCACAAAAAATGTTCAGTGGAGTGTGATAAAAACTACAGGGGCAAGGGGAAACAATGAGACCCAAGACCTGTCATGTAAAGGTACAAGATCCCAATAATGAATGTAACTGTACTGTATACCTAAAATGTACCAATAAACTCAATGAATAAAAAAGAACTATAGAGAATGTTTAAACTTAAAAAATGTTTTACAATAAAAGATACGTTATCATCAATCCCCCTCAAAATGCTCAGATTGCTACACCTTACTTCCAATACACTTACCCCATTACTTTTGGCAATGTGTCTTTACTGTTATAAGTTTTCAAATAAACATTCACTATATTTTTCAGTCATGTCTCATATGAGTGACTAAAATGCTATCTATACCCACTGCTCTCTGTTTATTAAGGCAGAAATCTTAGCATGAGATCAACAAACTTCTGTGTCTCATTGGCCAGAACTGGGTCACATGCTTACCTATAGACCAATTATAGTATGATTGACTTATATCTATCATTTTTCATTCCATAGAGGTGAGCACACAGGGACCCAAAAATAACATGACTTCGAAGACTATGGAATATTATTTGGACTGGCATCTCCAAGAGTGGTTACAATCAAGAATATTTGCCTCTTTAACTATATTGACTGGCTCATGTGTATTTATGTTTGTGTAATTGTAAAGTTAATTGATAATATCAAAATTCACATAATATTAAAATATATAATGAAAATAAAATAATTATAATTCCACTAATCCCAAAATGAGCAATCTTGATTAACATTTTGGCGTAGAGCTTTCCAGAACTTGTTGTGCTTAAAAATTTTTCTACCCATTTGAAATTCCCCCAAAATATTTTTTCTTTCCTCTCTCAAAATTAAGAGTATACTATAGGATGTATTCTGTTTTTTTTCACATGAAGCATATTATTTGAAATGATATCCTAAAACTGTAAACTGGATCCTAGA